TTGCTGCGGTGCATTTTTTGAACAAGAAACTGTTGAGAAACTGTTGATCACGATCACTGCTGCACGTCACAATGAGAAGAACAGCCACTAGTTCAAAAAGTTACGTTGTTGACGATGAAAACCAGTGCAAGGTCACTAAAAGTTTCGCAGAATCAAATATTGCATTTTTTGCAAAGGAAGCCTATGATAGATAGGTATGACAAGTGGGCAGGGAGACTAAACTCTTCACAAACAATTTTTTGACCTACTTGGCTCTGCTTAGCTTTGTAAGGTCCTTCTTTAAAAATTGTATATAAGACTTTCTGTTAACAAACAGAAGATTATAGAAAAGCAAGTGGTCAGTTGAACTAAGAAGCTAGGGATGTTAGTGCACCAGAACTTACTAGATCACCATAGTAATCCCCCTGGAATGTATTTTTCGTAGACAGCATTTATGAAACAGAGGTCTTTCGAGGGATCTCGAAGTATAGGTTACAACACTCACGCTTTTATAGGAAAATGTATGGAGACTAATGGGTTCAGTTGGTGAAATATGAAAGTTACTGTTCCTACACTTTATGGATGCTTCAGCTGTTAACCCTACAAAACGCCTGAGGTCAGGGGAAGCAGTTTAGTACTCACCGGTCTTCCGAATGGTGGCATGGCGTAGGCAACAGCGATGAAGCCGAAGACGAGGCAGAAAACAGCTCGCGACATTGTGAGTCTGTGCCAGGACAGTGTCTCGGCCCGATTTTATAGGTGGATTCTGGGCGGGCTATCGGTCAGCGCATTCGGCTGTTTTTTCGGCAAACAATCTCGCGCACGAATGTGATGCTGATCTGTGTGTGCTAGGGCGACGCGCATGCTGCTCGTGGACTAAACATAAACAGAAAAATCATCTGCGGTCACCTCTAATGCTGGACCACAAACCTAGAACCGCATCAAACCGCTTGGTCGCTTTTCTTGGACGAAACTTAATGAAATGAAGATCACGGAAGACTTTGGTAGGACTTGACCCAAAATGGCTATATTTACCCGTTCAAAAATAGCAGTGATGGTATAAGTAGGTAAAATATTAGGACACCTTACAGAACATAGGTGATGTTGCCTGTGACCGCCTTTTCTTTCGGTGCTACTGGAAATCAGTGGTTCATGTACTCTTTTTGGAAAACGATTTCGGAAAACTGACATTTCACTACGTTGTGAAGGGTGTGGTAGGCACCTTCACAAGTAAACAGCTGCACACTTAAGGGAAGTTTTAAGCTGCAAACCTTTTGTTACTCGGCCATTGCATAAATTCCTATGCACAGTCTTTAACTCCATTGAGGAACTTGTAAAATACAACAGTTGGAAGATTTGTGAACACTTCAGAGATTGCTTGAAAACGGTAATTTTCTGACTTCGTTGCTTGGGTAGGGTTTCACAGTAGTTTTCGAAAATGGCTTATAAAATGCTTGATTATTTCACAAGGGCAGTACTCATGCTAAAAAATCGTACTCCTGTGTTCAGCTTCATAAGGGGCATTCGGGGCAGCATTCATGAGAAAAACGCTTTTCTTCTGGTTTTGTCACATTGCACTCCTCTTACATAGGAACTTTGCCCTCTCAGTTACACTAAACCGTCCGCATCCGTATATTATGTAGATCTTTTATTGTTCAACGTGAAAGTCATACAAAACTTGTTTTCCGTTAGCTTCCTTTAAATAAAGCAAACTTTCAGATCTGTAAAATAAAGCCTCCGCCTCAACCAATATAATGGCAGAGGAAAGTTTAGTTGTTTTACAGTAAATGTTGGAAAAATGATCGAACGAAAAATTGCCCCTCACGAAAGAAGTGTAATTATTCCGCGGATCGTGCCATATGCTTCATAGGGAATCCTACGAGAATCCGAATAACAACAAAAATGAGCCAGGCAGGCCCTCTAGAACAAAGCATGATTCTGGAGGTCAAAAAACCACAGGTTATTACTGAATTTCGACATTAGAACAAAATTTTCGAGGACAGTGAAAATCAGCCGCTGGCGGTTCTCTTTCAGATACGTCTCCCACTTCGCCATCTCGTCGCTTGACAGAAAATGGGTATATGCATGGAGTACCCAAAAACTCGATGTAAAGGCGACCATGTTCCAAACTTTTCTCGCTTTATTTTCAAGATTCACAAACAAATGCTGTTATATTGTACTGTCTTCTCGAGTATTCTGCGGACATACACATCCCAAAGGACACGTTGGGACACGTTGGAGGGCCGTGGTTAGAGATACTTGGCGGTCGATCGATCGCCGGTTCCGCCGAATATTGTGTGTCTGCAGACTACTTGAGGAGACAGTAATACAGTTGCATGCTTAGCGTATGGCCGAAAATTTCGATGTGCTGAAAAAAAGCACAGAAAGAAGAAATGACGCAATATCCACGATTTTTGGTAGATGAGGAAATGGTCGGGTTGACTGATGATACGAGCTGGTTGGAGACTGACTTTCTAATAATGGCGAGTAGTTATTGTGAACCCTTTTAAATTTCTTTTTTATCGTAGTAATGCATAAGTAGCATAATCTGCAAAAAGCTGTGCGTCCTGCTTTTATTTCACGATTTGGCAGCCTTTCACGCGACAACCATTTTTTCGCGTGACAATTTCCCTGGACATTCTTCGTTTTTTCTAATACTTAACGCCAACTGATTCCCGTTAATTTCGTACCTCTAGCCCTTGGGTTGTAAGTCAAAGACCCATAGCCAAAGTGAAGAAGAAGAATTTAGTAGTGACCTTCTATACGTATTTTTATAGCATGTTTTAGAAGAAAACAGATCTAGAAAGACTTTGCTCAGATGTTTATCTGCTTTGAGCGTAGCAGGAAAAGAACAACAAGCAAAAAAACCCTC